TATTACTAGGTAATGAATGACTCTCAAAATTTGTCAAATCTCCAAAAAGTAGTGAAACCTACTTGAGTAGATGAACAACCTCCTTCCTTTTTCTACCCCATAAGGTGAAGAAATCTACAATAACATCCCTTTTCAAACAAGACTCATCTAAAGAGAGAGAAATAAAAGAGGAACAAACCAAGATCCTAGAGTAACAAAAAGACTCATAGCCTAGAAGGTCTTAGAGCAACAAAAGGACCTATAACAACCTCTTTACTCCAAATGCTTTAAGGTTGAACCACTCTTTTTAGATGGAGAGGAACCCCTCACACTAGGTTGTTAGATAGTTGCTGAAAAAAAAGCGATCACTTTAACGAGAGAGAAGTGTCTTGGACTATAAGATTAAGGGTAGGTAAAAACTTTGAACCTTATGCTAATGAAACATCCAACCTAGAAGGAAAGGAATCAATCATCCTCATCTTATTCATACGAGTTTAGGCACTACCAAACCTTCTCCTCCTTAAATTTATAGCCTTAAAGGAGAAAAAAATGATCCAACACCACCAATATTTCTTTTCAAGATCCATTTTGTCATATTACATTTGCTCTATTTTAGACTCACTTAGGTCGGAATCTCCGTGATACACTTCTCTAACTATAAAAAAAAAAAAAACATCAACGAGCTAAAATTTGAAACAAAAATGGAAAAAGCCTAAAGTTAGCATATCTACCATGCATGCTATGGACTAATGACAGTTTCTTTGCAAGAAAAATGACTCAATACATGGCATCCCTACTTTTTACCCAATACCAAAAATCCAAATCAATACTTGGATTAGGCAATGATGACATAACACTTATTTTTAGGCCTTCTTTAAAGAGAACTACATCCCTAAATTTACCAACCTCTATTTATAGGTAAAGACTTCCTATACGAGTTCATTCCTTTCTCTAATCACTTGGTTAGGTATGTAGTCCCTATAATTGTTTTATTTAAAGGTCTTGTTTCTTTGACAATGAATGTTTACATATAAAATCTCTCGTCTCCCTCATAGTATCCTTTGTCAAAAAGAAAGAATATAATAACAACCTACAAGATGGGATGACATCAAATCGTTGATTGAAATTATTGAAAACGATAAAAATGACCTACTCATTAGGAAGAAATTGGTAAATTCTTATGCTTGAAATATTAAAAACCTCTCGCCATAAATTTAGATGAAGAGAATTTGTAATTGTATTAGATCATACAAGTAAAAATAATTATCTCGATGTTCCTTTTTATACCTCAGAGGTAGGTCTCCTCATCTTATCACTTTGATTAGGGGTAACTATAAGATAATTCCATCCCAAGTAATGAGAAAAGACAATTATCGTTCTCTTAAAAACTCCACTAAGTCCTTCCTTAATGGAGGAAGATCCAAACCTTCATGCACTTGAAGGAACAACAACATCTACATTAGGGTATGCTTTTTTGATATTAAAGATAACCCTTGACACATCTCTCACTCTCTCTAAATCTTTCATTTTCAAACAAACATGAGACGTTGAGAGAAAAAAGATATACCTCTCAAAGTTTCAATAACTTATATAAAAAAAAATCACTTTATGACGGGAACAAATTATATCTAAAGCTCGCTAAAATTTGACAAGGTTTCTCTCGATTAAGAAGAAAAATTAATCCAAAATATCATTACGATAATAATTTTTCCTAGAAGCTCCAAGTCACCAACCCACTAGTAATCTTCACCATATCTCTAAAAGCTCATTATAGTTAAAAAAAAAAAAATCAATAAAAAGTGAGAAGACAAAGACGTCATCACATATTTATAGGTAAAATAGCATATAATTTTTTTTATCAAATACTTAAAGGCCTAAAATTAAAAGACAAGCATAATTTAACGTGGATCAATCACATATTGTCATTAGTCTTACAAAGCAACAAGGGTAGATGGCATTTGATAAACACGAGAAAACTCCAAAAGGTCTAATCGCTTCGATTCCTTCACACACTCTAACACTCAACTTGTTGGGTTTTCCCATATATCTATAAGTTTATCAAAGTTTAGGCATTAAATGAGCCTTTCATATGCTTATTAAGGTCAAGTCTAAAAAGATAAGTATGAAACAACTAGTGTCCTAAACATCGCTAATTATCTTCTCAAAAAATTCGACTAGATGTTAAGCCTTCACCAAGCACACTTGGTAAAGACTCGGAGAGGTTACTAATATACCAATATAATCATAATCATGACACATGTCTTCTTGCTCTATTAAAAGACTACCTAGCTGAGAATTCATGTAGCTAAGACAATCCCTACTATCCATTAAGGGTCATCATGATTAGGCAAAAATCAAACAACCAATATAGGAAAATAGCATGAATAAAGAAGATATCCGTCCATCCATTTGTTTGACAATAAAGATATACATTAAATGAAGATGTGACTTTGTGAAATGTTTTTATCACGTTGTCACTAAACTTGATTGCACATATATCACTAGACAATGAACATTGCTTAACAAGATTTTTAACGTTCAAATGGATGTTAGGAGTCGTTAAACATTAAAAAAAAAAAAAAAAGACTAGTCCTCATCTCACTCTATGCAAGTTGATCATCATCTCCGCCTATGTAAAGGTTAACATACCAAAGATTACATGTTCTCTCTTATAAGATTAAAAAGATAGATTATCAATTATCTTATGCATTTAAGAGCTAATTTTTTTTAAAAAAAACCTACTCGAGCTAAACACATTTATATGTAAGTTAACTTAACCATCGAAAAAATCTCTAAATACGAGAAGATGACTTGTTTTGCAAGTACTCGAGTTGAATCAACATAAATTGAGCTATAACAATAATTTAGTCAACTTGGATTAGAAGCCATTTCTATGTTAAATTTTCATATGAGAATCACGATCTCATCGGTATTCATGTAGAGCCTAATGATAAATTGTAAAATCTTCATTTTCTTTTTCACCAAAAAATTCATCTAAACAATCTCATAAATCTCATTATATAGATTTAAACCAAAAAACCACTAGTAAATATGGATGATAGTGAATTGAGTATAAAATAGGTATCCATTTCGTTTGATTCAATCAATACTCTCTAACTATGTCCATTAGATAAGGATATTAATAGATAAAACTCGAACCATATCATAATAAATTCAGATTTAATTTGTTTAATAAAATGATTATTTTCGATTTGACAAAAATGATATTGGAGGCGTATCTTCAATTAATTAATATGTTATTTGCTGTTTTAGTAGGTGAAAGGTTGGTGTAAACTCATCAATATGTGTCAAAATGGAAGAGTTGTTTTGGTGGCGCTCCTAGTCGCCTATACAGGTGAGCTTTGTCCATCTAGTTTTTGCTCGGATGGAGGAATAGATTAGGTGTGGACCATAGTTTTTCCACGAATTACTCTTATCAATAATGGATGGAGTCCCGGGATACACGAATACCCTAGGTATATCATCTTCTTTGTTTACTACACATGTGATGTAGCTATCTCAATTACATCCAACAATTCTGTTGTGTATAAAAACTAGCTTGTCCTTCATTAATAAATTGATTATTAGGAATAAAGGCAACAAGAACTAATCATTGAAGGCTCGCATCGCTTACGTACGAGTGACGAGTGACGAAGAAGCATTAGCGGTACCACAATACTATCACATCTATAAGAAAGTACAAATTTCAGGTTCTCAACTCTCAAGACTGAAGTGTTTATAGTCCCAATCTGATTCCTTGTTAGGTCTCTCTACTAGCAACTGGCAGGGAGCATGCACTATTATTGAGCAGGACCTCCTCAAACCTGCATATTTTGTTGCATCATGAAATTTTTCTACAAGAAAAAATTCCTCGATATTTATTTGTTGTACTGATTATTATCAATACATACTTTTGTGACGTCTTTGTTGTCCTTCCTCAACTAATGAGTCTATCAACCTTTTCTTTTCTTTCGTTTCGGTTTCTTTTGTAGATGCTGACCCTTAACCATCTTGAATAGGAAAACAAAAGATACATAGCAAATAGGTCTGCTTTATTGGTTGCTTTCTTCTATATAAAGCAACATCATATTATGAATCGTTTTTTAGAGAAACCAATAATTTACATTCCTGATCACAAATTTTAGGCACTTGAAAAGAATGAAATCCTACTTGTGTCAGGCTGGTGCAAGGCTAAGTAGGTATAAAGATCATACCATTACGTTATCCAGCATTGTTTAAGGTAATCCACTAGCGATGCTTTCAGAATACTAATATTTGATTGGGGCAAATGACGACTTGACATTAGAAATTCTGAAAGTTGGACGGTATCTTTTGAGTTCTAACTTTAATCTGCTTGATCTGTAAAGAATTCTAGTGTCACATAGAATTATTCCCTTGGAAATTTTCCCTTCAATAATTACAAGTCTTGCTTGCATCATTAGGCTATAGAGCATTACAACTAATGCAAGGAATTATTTATTGAAGACAAATTGACAACAAGAACATTATTAATAAGAAGATGGAGAGAGGACGTACCAAAGATAAAAAAAAAGATCTACTACAGTCGAGATAATTGGGCCTATGTGCTTAATTAACTATACCATGATAATTTTTATTATTATATAATATAAAAGAAAAGATAAGGCAAGCTTTAGTCGAACATCATTACACCAACTCAAAACCAAACTTTGTGGCCAAACTCAACATCAATCACCAAAATTATCCCTTCAATAAAATCAAATTTACAGATCATATTTCAGCTTTCGGGTCCCTGTCTATTTCTACAAGGAGAGCAATGAAGTGAAAAACAAAGGAGAAAACCTAAAAACAAATTCAAGCAAGGCATTTAATTACCTACCATCTTTTTGCTTATGCTTTTATCAATTACAGATGTCTTCAATTGAAGCAAAATTTTGGCAATAGTCCTACAAAGTTTCCCTTATGAGAGAGTAGTTGGTTTATTTCTGGTGTTGGTCCAGCTTTCAGGCTAGCAACACTGCTCAAAATTATGAAAACTAGCATCAAGAACAGGTTCCATAAGCATCATTTGGATCCACTTCATCCATTCCTTCCTCTAACAGCATCACTTGGTACCGGCATTCACTACTGCAGAATGCCCTTTCCTCTCTGCAAAATAATTAAATAATTCAAAGAAAGCTTATTTTATTGGTATGAAATATTCGGAGATGAAACTAGAAATAACACAATCGAAGTACTAGAAGATAAATCATCGCAAGTCATTCCAATATCAGAGATATTTGTATTCTTTTCGGTTCAAAATTATTACCTATTAAAAGAGAATAGTTTGAGATTCTAAGAAAATAATATTCAGGTTTATTGATTGAATGTTTGTTAAACTTGAACAAATATATTACAATGTTTGAGCCGAATTCCCATGCCTAATATGTGAATTAAAAAGCTTGCACAGCCCTCACATAAATCATGTTGAAATAAAGCAGAAACATGCTAGAAAAGGGAACTTGATCTAACCTGTACATGTAGATGTCTTTTCCCTGCTCAAGATTCTTCTTGCAAGCTGAGCAGAAGCTTAAAAAACTATCAGATGGATGACTTGACTCGTCACCCAAAAATCCATTATTATCTTCCCTTAGAGATGTAGAGAAGCCAACAATACCACAGCAGCTCTCAACAATGCAATTGTCAAAAATATGAGTAGTTTTGGGGATAGGCCCGTGAGTGATTACACAAGTATAATCCTCAGAGAGCTCCATTTCACTAGCAGAAAGACACCCAGTGAAGACCCGAGGAGAATTAAGAGTGTCTATACCCGAATTAGATGATCCAAATACTGACTTTTTTATTAGAGAAGGGGATAACCCAGAAGAAAAAGAACCCAATTGAGAGTTTCTTGTTTTGATACCAAAATTGCTAGGAGATTTGGGAGATTGATCAGTTGGTGAAAGAAATGATGGAGGCAATGAAGGGATTTGGATCTTTAACTGTGACCCAAACAGAACCATTTTGCTTTCGGGTTTTGAAAAATTAGAATCAGTTTTTTCATCGTCAAGAGCATCGATAATGCCAAGACCAATGCCTCTAGAGTCTAGTTTGTCCCAGTGGTGCTTGGTCGCAGGTCCCGGGGTTTTAGGACTGGGGTTTGGGTCATGCCAGAAGGGGTTTTTGAGGCCCGAGAATGGCTTGCTATCAAGAATTGAAGTTGGGCTCATAACTGCCTCTGTTGTTTCTGAGAAGTTCTTGAAGGTGAAGCCAGTTAGCAATTTCGGAAAGGAAGTAGGCTTTCTGAACTCGTCTGTTGGAGATGGGATTGAGCTATGCTGTGACATTAGAGCTTGCTTGCTTGTTGCTGCTCTTGATCTCTCTTTTAGCATCAATCAAATTCTGTACTCCCACACTGAGTACGAATATATAAAAAATTAATGAACTTGCTACCAAATTCAATTAAAAAAATCAAGACTGTGTTAAAAAAAGAAATGGCAGGAGATTTACCTGGAAGGATTGGGGCTTTTACCCAGAAGTATCCTTGGATTCTAGGGGCTAAGATCAAGACCAGCTTCGAGCTCAAAAATATAAAAGAGATTCTTGAATAATCAAGACCAGCTTCGAGCTCAAAAATATAAAAGAAATTCTTGAATAAGTGGCTTCTTTATAGGTTTATACTAGGGAAAGCTAGGCAATAGACTGGTGCTAGTACAGTCAAAGCCATTATCTTCAGTAAACCCAGAAATAACAGAGCCAAGAATAGGATCCACGAACCCCTTTGCTCCCCCTATAGCTCTGTGATCACTTCCATTTCCAAGAACCAACTGAGATACCAAAAAACAAAACAAACAAGGACGAAAAAGTATCATTTTTCGCCGAATTTCCGGCTCTTTAAACCTCAATTCATCAGCAGAAATACCTGAAATCATAGAACAGACAAGCAAAGAGACCCCCAAGAGTCATGATCAACAGACCAGACGTGCATGCCTCAGACACCACCAGCGACAAAAGAAGGTTTTGTATTTTCGTTTTGCTCTCTTTTCTCTCTCCTCTCTTTTATCTTTTTTTTTTCCTTTTTATGTGTCCTTCAAGAGTATATTTCAGCAGGTTTTTACCATGAGAAAAAGATTCATCAAATTCAAAGCCTTAGAATAGAAAAGACCCAATAGCATAAACCCAAAAAAAAAAAAAAAAAAAACAAAAATTATAACTCATACATGAATACAAAAAAAAGACTAGTAATTGATAAATAGAGAGTGGTGAATGAAATTACTAGTACTGTTACTCTTTTTTACTTTTAGTGGGTTGTCTACTTACATTGCTTTTTTGACATTTTAAACCCACTACATCATCAGGACCTGAAACATCGCCAGGAAATAGCAGAGGGGACAGTGAAAATAAAGAAAGGGAGCTCGTGGGATTGAGGGGTTGTTGTTGGTTGGATCTTTAAGGAAGCTATGCATGAGAATCAGTGGGTTTGATCAAATCACTTTCTTGCCTCAAATGACAATCACGTCGGTTTTGAATTGCCACGGACTCCTATCTATGTCTCCGTCTCCGTCTCTCGACTCTCGATTGATTAGTAGTGAATTGAATTGAACTGAATTGTAGATATGGGCTTTTCCTCATCCAAAAGCAAGTAAAATGTTTTTGCTCATACATCATAAAGCAAGTAAAATGTTTTTGTTTATATAATTCAGATACAAAAATTGACTGAGTTGATTTTTACTAAACTCATGCGTAAATTCAAGTCAACGTAGAACGATCCTCTCCTTTAACTCTTTTACCTCAATAACCTCACTGATTGTAATTATGAAATAAATATAAAGAAACTTGAAGGACTCGATAGCCATAAAACCTCACTAGGCTAAGCTATGGCTTCATGTGATTTGGCTTGGGCATCCTTGCTCTGTTTAGTGTTTCGTACGTGTACTAAACAGTGATTCATAGTACCAAAAGTGTAATGTGCCCTATATGCATCAAAGATTTACAAAATCAAGGTCGAATTCGATGATGCATATGGTCAGTAAAAATATATAATTGTTCGATAAATTTAAATAGGTCGAATTAGAGAAGAGTTTTGTTCTCATCAATAAGAGTTAATGGCTTCATCTTCAAGAGCTTTCCTTTTCTAAAACACTTTGTCATTAATGATGTAGATAGAGTTCAATAAAACTTTCAAGTTTTTTTTTTTTTTTTTTCCTATAACATTTTGTTATTGAATATGTAGCCATTTCAATGAAACAACTAGAACAGTCCCACCTCATAACAATCAATCATCTCATGACTAATTGTGATTTTAGCATGCATTTTCTCACAAGACACATCACCTCCCGTGGATCCTGTGCATATACATGCTAAATCGTAATAAATATAAGATGGAGCTCTTATAAATAGAAGATTTAGCAATCTATCAGGAAAGAGGGAAAAAAAGGTTAATCTTACATCTTATAAAAATCTCTTGCATCTCGGATTACACAAAGTGAATAATTCTGACTCACTAAATTTTCATCCCTTTATCTATCTTGTAATTTGAAGTTGCAACCTGACAATGGAAGTCTTGTAGAAGATTTTAAAGTCTGTCTTTATGAGATCAATTTATTCATATAGTAAAGAATATAGCACAAAAAAATGATAACGTGCTCTCAGAGTCTGAATCACAGCAACCCAATTCGACTCTGTAATGAGTTCTATAAATGTCCTTGTAAATGTTAAAAAAAAAAAATCCTCGAATACTGTAGAAGCACAGCCCAAAAGCTGAGGTAAAGTACCAAGCCCGTCGTTGGAATTGGGAAGTTCACGGAGTGCTTCTGCTTCTGCTTGACTAGGGTCATCCATAGTCACCACCGTCATCGTCATATTTATAACATTGGTCCCACTTAAAAAGAAATAGACTTCTGACCACATCCGGCTCCACAAACAAAGGTAGGCTCGAACTCGTTCTATTCGACGACAATAATAAGTTGTGTCGTCTCATACTAGCATTGGTTTAGGTAAGTGAATTAGAAGTACTGTTAATTTTAGATGACTGAAACACCCTTTGAAAATGGATGAATGTCCTTGTAAAGCAGGGATTGATCTGGAAGTTAAGCCAGAAGCAGGAATGTGGTGGGCCCGTTTAGAAATGATGGGTCCACAGTGTTAACGATTGTCCATGAACCAAGACTGCAGTTACCAGGCTCAGATAGATCCCCATCTCTTTATAACAGAGAGAGGCTGGGAGGCTGGACTCCGTATTTTGCTCCTATTCTAGTTTAATGGAAATTTCATCTTAGGCTGAGCACATTAGCAGTTTTCAAATCGTAAACACTTAAATTAAAAAAAAAAAATTAAAATCTAGAGGTTCAAATAAAAAACATTTATTGGTTGAACACTCAAATAGAAAAAAAAATATTTAAATTGTAATTTTTTATTTTATAATATACCCTCTTAGTTAACAAGGTTTTTAATTTAGTAAATACTAGATTTTTGACATACGCTACACTCCTGGTTGAATAAAATATATAAAATCATTTAAAAAAATTATTTCAGTTTAATAATTTGTTTTATGATAAAAAAATTATAATTTTTTCATCAAAAAAATTATATTTAACTATTTTTTATTTGTGTTTTTAAATTTTAAAAATAAATAATAAATAAAGGAAATAAGTTATTGGTTTCTTTAAAATTTTAACACCCAAGATTATTAAGAAACGAAAATTTAAAAAAAAAATCAATTTTTAGAAAAAAAAATGGGGGCCGGCATTTACTTGTTCATGTGAACAGTACGGATGGAAATTACAAAAAAAAGCTCAATGTTTAGAAAGGAAAACAAAAGAGGGGGCGGAAGTCGTTTACTTGTTCATATGAACAAGTAAACAAAAAAAAAAGGGGGGAAGAAGGCCACGTCGGCAAAAAAAAAAAAAAAAATTTTTTTTAGAAAAACCAAAGTATTGTAGCAATGAACGATACTGTTCATTGCTACGGTTAAAAATCATTTTGCTTTAGTATATAAGATAACTAGTTGGGTACCGAAGCTACGTTGTAATCGAACAACCGTTATATATGTAAGGTTAGCAATTTGTATGGTGTAGTGTGGATAAAAATTTTATTTCTCATAATTAACGTAAATCAAATTTATTTGCTTGAGTAAAATCGTTTGATTTATATATATTTATTAACAAAATAATCAATAATATGAGCATAAAAAGTTGTATTTGAATAATTGAAAGGTTTTTTTAAAACATTATTTTAATTATTTTATATTAAAAAATTTATTTTAGAACATAAGAAAGAATATATATATATAACTTCTTAATCTACGATGAAAGAGATTCTTAAATTGCAAATTAAATTATAAATTGGTTTATGTCGTTTTGAGAAATGAATTAATCAATTCTTTTGGTTTCAAAAATAAATTTTTTAATTTTTTAATCGGTATTGAACATGAATAATTTATTTATTAATTTTATAAAATTTCTTTTTTTCCCATATTTTTTCATATTTTTTTTAATTCTTTCTCTATTTCTTAAAACAAAAAATAAAAACATTGAAATAGCAAAAAGAACAAAAAAAAATTAGTTTTTGAACTAAGAGAACTAATTAATTTGTTTCTCGAAGAAAGAGGGACTAATTTATAATCATTCTTAAATAGCAAGTGACTTTGGCTTCCCTATCGAAAATAAGAAGAAAAAAATTGAAAGAAGATAGGAGTATTAAATGCTCATTGGAAAAAAAAAAAAGAAGAAGAAGAAAAAGAAGGAAATGATGAAAAAAAGCCCAAAAAAATAAAAAGAGAATCGGTTAAGGGTAAAAATAGAGTTTCTCAAATCCATCGAGTGGCAAAAGAGAAATTAATGAAAAGGTAGGGGCTAAAAAATCAAGCAACACAATCAATAGTGAATCTATGTCTAAAACAATAGTAAATGAATAATAAATATCTTAGGTCTTTTACCTTTTTCCTACTAATATATATTAAATTAAAAATAAAAGATAAAAATTTTATTTAATTTCATAATTTTTAATTAAATTTCGTTTTTCATTCATGTTTCTTTATTTTTTGTAGATTTTGTTGTAAAAAAAAAACGATTCATTTTTTTTATTTATTTGTTCTTAAATAAAAACCCATAATAATATAAATATAAAATTTTTAAAAATATCTTAATATTGTTTTATAAGACTACATCAAAAAAATATATCAACAATCTATATAAAAATTTATATAAAAATTAACTAATGAATCTTTTTAAACTTTTTAAAAATATATACGTTTGATATACAAACACACACACACACACACACACACACACACAAAAAGCAATCAATAATATTAGGTATAAAAACATGTTTTTAAATTATTAAGTGATTATTTTAAAATGTTATTTTATTTAAAATAAATTATTTTTTAGTAAAATCAATAATCTCGATACTTTTTATATCCATCATTACCATACTTTGTACAAATTAAAAACTATCTTTAAAAAAACTTAAGTTGTAAGAAATATATTAAATTTAATAGAGTGAAATAAAAATAATTTAAAATTTTATTCCAAAAAAATTGATTATATCAAGAATAAGATAAAGAAACAAATGAATTCTATTATTTATTAAAAAATCATAAACGAGAAAAAGATAAATCATATTTATTAACAAATAAAATTTCATAAAAAATAAAAAATCTAATTTGATGAGAATTTTTATCATAAAGGACAAATTTAAGATATTAATTTTAATCAATAAAAAAATATAATTCGATATACATGTTTGTTCTAAAATTTAAAAACATAAAAGGCCAAAAATATCTTTTAAAAATATGAGGAACAAAAACTATATTTTGAAAAAATGTGATATAAAAATGAGCTAAGTTAAAAACATGAGATGTCAAAATATTTTTAAAAATATGAGAATTTAAAAGTACATTTTGAAAACATAAGGAAGAAAAAAGGAATGAAGTGTAAAATTTAGAAATGAATGCTCAAAAAACCATAAGAAAATTACGAAAATATCATTGAAGAAAATTACAAAATTGCCACTATGAATAGTGAACTGAGACAAATGAATAGTATTTTACTACTTATTTGTCCTAATTCTTTTAGTTTTTTGCCTTAATAATTCTTATTAAAGTCCATGTCCTATTTACTAAATAAATAATGGTTTTATGTAAGAATTTCAAGGCTCTTAATTTTAGTACGGGAAAAACATTCCTTGGGTTATTTCTTTTCCTTTATTGACAAGAAATACTAAAACAAAAGGTGAGTTTAATGTTGGGTCAATGTGCATTTTAATATATACCCACGCTCATTGGTACTATAAAATTTAGACTCATGGAGACTATTTATTTCATTATGCTTTTTTTTCAGCCGTTGGATTACTCTTTTGTTATACTGGATGCATTGTTGTTAGACATTTGTTGGTTGTGTATTTTTAAAATTCATTATTGTGACCCTTGCTTGTGGATTTCCTATGGGAATTTTTTATTTCCCATCTGTTCTTTCTTTTTGTAATTCTTGTTCTATGAGTGGTTTTGTGCGATTATTTGCTTGTCCTTTTCTTACTTGCTTCTCTTCTTATCTTTTTTGCTCTTTTTTTGTAACTCTGATTCTTGCTTGGGTGAAGCATTTAATCTTGATGCCCATAATTTATTTGTTGCTCCTTTTCTTTATTGGGATTTGTTCCTTTTTCTAGAGGAGGATGATATTGGTGAAGGGCCTAGGCAAATGTTATTTGTTTATAAATTTTGTTGGAAATTGATTGTTATTCTTGATTATGTTGTATAGCCTCACCTCTGTTGTGGTTTTTTTTTTATATCCCTTATCTCTTTTTTTTGTGTTGGGTTTAGTTCCTTCATGACCAGCTAGTTCTTTTTTGGTTTTGTTTTTTGATAGTTATCTCACCCTTTGACACAAGAGTTTGGCCCATTCCAACTTAGCCATTCACATTGAACTGAATTTTCTAGTTTAGTTTTTTGGGTCAAAATTTATGTAGTCTTGTTTTAGGTTATCTATTTTCATTTAAGTCACCTACTTATGTAATTTAGGTAACCTATTTTGCTTATCTAATTGTTGTTGGATTAAGACGCTAAGCCTTGTAGAAAACTCATAAACAACAAACAACAATCAAATAGCTATATGCCGAGATAATCCGAGCATAAAAAAACATCAAATAGACCTCAAATAACACCCACATTAATATCAAATCACAATCCTTAAACTCCTCAAACACACAAACCAATTGGAATCCATAATCAACAAACACACAATAACGATACCCTAAATTAGGATAGATGCGTTCACCACTCAAACAAAATCAGAATAGCATGAAATTTTAACACAACCTAGATACTACCTAGGATAATGTGTATAATAAATTTTAGCTCAATATAAGCTCTCTAACCCCTTTTTCTATCAAGTTGCAATTTTGGCCAAAATAGGTTCTAAAAATTACAATGATTTCAACACCCCCAAATCACAAGCAAATATGTTTTTTTTTTTAATTTTTTTTATAAGATTTTAAATAAAGCCCTTAAATATACACTATCAAAATTTTAGATCAAAATAAAATTCCTAACCTTGTTTACCAACATGAAGATCGAATTGTTTAGTTTGGAATTACAACTAGACCCGCAATCAATCAAGTAACAAAATAATAAAGGTAATGCAAGCTACAATGTCTCACCCTAAGCATAGATCCACTACTCAATTTGATGTAGAGAGTATTTACTAGTTACGCTAGTCAATCACTCTAATGATATGTTCATGATGTCTTAGTTAGTCCAAGCAAAAGAGATATGTCAAAGTATAGAGAATAACTTTCAAATTCTATTCAAAATATCATCAAAATCTGAACTGAAAGTAGCATAATAGTGTGATTAAATA